TAGAGTTTAGGGTTTAGGGTTCTAGTTTCAAAACAGCGTAGCCCAAAATCCTAGTTTGAACAGTGGGTGCCCTGACATCACGGTGTCCGTTCCCCCCCTAAACCCTAAACCCTAAACCCTAAACCCTAAACCCTAAACCCTAAACCTAAGGCTGTGATCGGGAAGACCTCCCGGTTCGGCCACTCCGAAAATCCCTCAACTCGTCTTGGGGGTTCGGGCTTTAGCGCTGAGACTTGAGGCTTCAGGGTTTAAGGCTACTTAGGCTTCAGGATTGAGGGTTTAGGCTTTGGGCTTTAGGGTTGAGGGTTTCGGGTTTAGGGTTTGGGCTTTAGAGTTTGGAGCTGGTGGATTGGGCAGTCATCCTTGAAGCTGTGCTGTTGATTTGTGAGCCTGGAGCAGTACTAGTACTCAGTAGAGGCGCAGGTGTAGAGGCCGAAACCCTCCAACCCAGACCCAAGCCTTAGGTGTCCCTCTTCAGTCGCCTTACAACCCTAAACCCTAAAGCCTTGCAGGCTCAAGCGCCCCAAAAGCTCATCATCTCCTAAACTCCCCTTAAAAACATTGCCTATTCTATTCTGGGGGTTCCTTAAGTATAATAGTTATAGTAGAGCGGTACTAGAAAAACCCTATTCAAGTTATCAAGGCCCGTACGTCAAGCCCCAAACCCCAAACGGCCTAGAGCCTCGAGCAGGACACCGGCACCTACCAGGTCATCGTGCGATTTTCGGGCGGTGAGCAGGTAAGTCCGGGACCGGAGCAGTGCAGGGCCTTGGCCTAAACCCAAAACCCTAAACCCTAAACCCTACACCCCTAAACCCCTAAACCCCTAAACCCAAAGCCCAAACCCTACACCCTAAACCGTGCCTCGTTTTGTAGATGTTTGTATCGACCTCTAAGCCTCCAGGTGTCTATATGTTGTATACTTTGGTTGCAGGGGGTCCTACATAGGTACTTTGTAAGGCGTCAGTACATATATATATATATATATGTGTATGTATATATATATATATACTTTAAAGGGGTTCCTACATATACTATTTAAGTACATGCAGCCTTTGGGGACAGATGAGCTTGCTGAAGGCAACCTCACGTCCTTCTAGACCGCAAAGGTCCGACGCTCGTTGAAGCGCAACCTTTTGTAGCTCAAGCCACTAGCCCCAAGAAGGCACTTCAACTGCGGAACAGGACCTAAGCAAACTCTACATAGACACAGGAAGCCACAAAAAGATAAGAGTATGTGGAGAAGTTTGGGGCATACATGCATATGCCTCTGTGTGTGTAAGTATGTTCATGCAGGTGAACACGTACATACATACCTACTGACGGACAGACGGACAGACAGACAGACAGAGCAGACAGAGACAGGCAGAGACAGAGAGAGAGAGAGAGACACACAGACAGACAAACAGACAGACAAAGATACATGCCTGCATGCCTGCATGCATGCCGGCATGGCTGCATGCCTGCATGCATGCAAGCGTACATGCTTGCATTCATACATGCATGCATGAATACATGCATGCATACATACGTATTCATTCCACGGGTCTGTCCTGATTGGGACATCTTCCACGTAGGATGGTCCAGCGCAGCTAAGTCTGAGTTTCGGGCTGACGGTCCTTTTCGGTGGAGTTTTGCTTGGAAGCCCCGAGCCGAAACACGTGACCTTTGGGCAGGCAAATGGCCCTCGACCGTTTGCCCGAGGTGCGCCGGGTTTAGGAGGAGGAGAGGCTCAGAGGTGAAGCCTTTCCTCCGTTTTTATCACGACTGTTGAATCGAGGTTTGCTTGGCACCAGTTCTTTCGTTTATTGTCAATGGGACTGGAACACGAATACGACTCAAGAGTATTTCATGTTGACTGGCACCAGAACTTGGATTTATCAAGTCCAAATGCTTTTGAATTCTGTAGACCCACCCTAAACCCTAAACCCTAAACCCTAAACCCTAAACCCTAAACCCAAAACCCAAAACCCTAAACCCTAAACCCTAAACCCTAAACCGTGCCCCATCTTTGGCACCCAGAAGCCAGGTGTTCTAGGCGGCTCCTCGCCGTCCCCGGCCAATGCCTTTCATGACGAGGCACGCTGGGCACAGCAGCGCTAACCATGAATCCTGAGGTTCATTACAAACGTAAGGCCCTGAACCCGAGTGAAACTCTAGGCACCTAGCCTGAAACCGAGATCCACATGGATCTTCAAACTCAAACCACAAAATAAGGATGAGCATCCTGATTATGTGCACCCTCAGATTCATGCCGGAACCCTTTGACCTTAATTCAGCGCGATTTTGCGAAGCACCCCAACATGCGCAGAACGATTCCGAGTAAAATTGCTTCCTTGAGGAACAGGCTCCTCCGTGAGTGGTCTGGCGAGAGGTTTAGGTCTGGAAGGTTCATGCAGTTTCCTTGGCAGGTCTGCTTCGTGATTCAAGCATGGGCCTTGACAGTTACATTGACTTTTGCTTTAGGATTTAGGGTTTAGGGTATCTTTGACCTTAGTGACTGAGTAGGTAACCTTTAACCTTTTGGGGTTTTTTCCTACCATAGTTGAAAAGGTTAACCTTGTTTGGGCAAGGGTACTCAGCCCCTAAGTGACAGTTACATTGAGTTTTGCAGTGGATCTTATGTTGATTATCTGGTCGGGTTTGGCATAGGACCAGAAAGTGCAGTCATAGGAAGTGCACGAGCGCTGTTCCGAGGTGCAGCCGCAGATCTTGAAAAACTGCTAGGTGTCCTTAAGTTGAACTTAGATGACCAAGGCTGTACGCATGTGAATATGTCTTTATGTAAGTAGAACATGTGCGGTCGTGTGTATGCACGCAGGTGGACTTGTGCCTATGTATGTATACACAAAACTATGTGATATGCATGGATACATATATATATATATATATGGAGAGAGAGGGTCAATAATCCCATACATGCATCGATGCATACAGGCATCAAGCCTGCATGCCTGAAAAATGCATTCCACATGCATGCATACTTACATACACATCCATGTACACAAATACATATGGCCGTATGTACACATACAAACAAATACACCAAAAACAACGTCCGTCCGTCCGTCCATCCATCCATCCCTCCGTCCATCCATCCATCCATCCATCCATCCATCCATCCATCCATCCATCCATCCATCCATCCATCCATCCGTCCATGCATCCCTCCGTCCATCCATGCATGCATGCATGCATGCATGCATGCATGCATGCATGCATGCATGCACACAGCTACATACATACAGACATGCATGCATACCTACGTACATACCTACATGCGTCTATGTATAAAACCTTGTATATATATATATATGCGCACATGCACAGATACCTACTCACCTGCCTACTCAACCTACCTGCCAACCTACCTACTTATCTACGTATGCACATACACAAGCATGCACCAACACATACATCTATACATACATACATCTATACATACATACATACATACATACATACATACATACGTACTTACATACATACATACATAC